TATTCGGGAAGGCTCCGATTGCACACATCGCATATTGCACACATGTATCGCTGATTGGCCAATTTAAAAATAAAATAATCTCATTGGCAAAACAATGGGTGCATTCAGCAGAAAAGAGCGCTACTAGAGCGCTCGCTGTTATTGGTGTATTCTTTTAAATCATCCAATTAGAATTTTAGATCTGGAAGAATACACCAATAACAGCGAGCGCTCTAGTAGCGCTCTTTTCTGCTGAATGCACCCAATGAAACATTACTAGGCACCAGTTGATATGAGTGGTGTGTACAATTAGAACTGTAGGCAAACGGGATCCTCCCCTCTATTCTTGAAAAGAAACGTACCGTATACTGTAGGATTAATGGCATTTTGTGCTCTCCTATTGGTAGAGCGGGTGACGTCATCCAATAGGAAAGATTTATCCAACCAAGGTTGGTGCAAACCCGATCGGGCCGAAAACGCTATATGTTTAACGGTTGACAACCCTGCTCGTTGGTTAGTTTTGCGCCCGTTCAAATTGATTTGATCAGTCCGTTATTATTTTGCTGTGTGGTGTAAGTATGATCTCATTTTACATGTTTAAAGATTCCGTAGATTTAATTTGAGAAAATAAGTAAAGCTTAAGCTAAAAACGTATAATTTATGATGTGAGAGTTGATTTAATTGACAACACGTTTTTCATTAAATTTAATACTCAATATTACATTTTACAATGGAACATCTATAGAGATTTTATCTTGAAAGTTTAATAATTTGTAATCTATCTGTGTATCTGAATTACAGTTTATCAAGTGATTATATGTGATGAATTTGTACCCTGAGCCAGAAATCAAAAAGCTGTCTATGGATAAGTTTCGATATAATATATTACTTGCCCCATTCCAGCCAGCAACAAGAATTGAATTGGAAGCAAAGATAAACACTAATGTAGAATGCTATTTAGATGTGAAAAACGCTGGCGACAAGACATTAAATGTATGGGAAATGCACTAAATATTTTTAATTTTTTTTTTTGTGTAGGATTGTATATCATATACAAAAAACTGTATATAAAGTTTTCAGATATAACTTGGCTTTTTAATCAACTTGTTTCATTTAATAATATTTTTTCTTACAGGTATTAGTAACAAAACTACCATCTGTAGAACGTCGGATTGATCTAAGCTTGTCCAAATTAGAAATTCAAGGACATAGCAATCGTACATTATGTATCAAATGGTCACCTAGGGAAGCAGGACGCTGGCGAGATGTGCTGCAACTTACTGATAGTAGGCGAATTAAATATGACATTGTTATAGCAACAACAGCTAAGGATGATAAAAAAAGTAACAAAACAAAAAGGCTGAAACCAGGTGTATTATCAAATATGTCTAGTCTTTCTACATTAACAATAAGCAAGCAATCTCATCAAAATAACATGTTGAAAGTTCCATCTATTAGTCAGTCCTTATCTTCCTCTTTGGCCAACAATCTTGATACACAAATAAATCAATACAAGCTTGATTTGGATAAAGAGAATATTTTGAATAAAAATAATGGAACAAAGAATTATGCATTAGAAACAAAAGATTATGGATTTGACGGCATGCATCATGAAAGGCATGATAAACCAGAAAATATCTTGTGCGAGCAAAATATAAATGTATGGAGTGACAGTAGTGTTCTGCCGCAAGTTTTTCTTCCATTAAATGCACCACAAGATATACGTAGAGCAACATACATTAAAGAAAGGAGACCTTGCAACAGTATATTGTACGAGCACCATAAAGAAGTTCATGAAAATATGAAGTGTAATAAAGACGAGACGCAGTCTGATTTTTCTGTACTACTGAATAAATTTACATTCACGTCTACAGATGTAATTTCGAGTTCACCAACAAGAAGAGAGTCTACAGAATCCACAACTTCTCATATCATAGATAAGCATAAGACATTCAATATCAGTCGTCAATTCTTTGAGACGTCCGCGATTTATGATAAAAAGACTACTGTCAATGCAGCACCTGTATTACAACCAACAAGTCTATATAACTTATCACCAATTAAATCTGATAAATGCTCTCTCATGACTGGTATCAAGGATTTAATTTCGTCGTCGCCGATTCAATTTCAACATTACATACCAAAAGATTCTAACGAATACATAAAACATTTTATGGTAGACAAAAATCCAAATATCGAAACAACTAATTGCGAATACTTCAGTTTTGAGATTATTCCTAGGAATGCCGCAGCAGCAAAGAAGACCGGAGATATGTATATCGAGATTTCTCCACCAAAGAAACATTTCTGCTCTAAGATGGTATCAAAGGTGAACAGTGCAAGAATCGGCAGAGTTATGAAAAATAATACTTTATGTGATGGTAGGAACAGAAAGAAGTTACAAGTGAACATTGCTGCAAGTAAGCTCTGCCTTTATAAAAAAAATTGTATTTTTAATAATATCGATACTGATGTAAATTATAATTGCAGAAAATGATACGAAGAATATACCAGCAATCAAAATAAACAAATTTTCCCTCAGTAGTACTTTGTGTAATACAAAGTGGCATACTTCGTCATCTAGAGATTCGAGTTTCAGAATACGAAACAAAGAGGAGTATTTTATATACGAAACATGTGGATTAGATCCCTTTGCACCATCTACAATAGAGGATCCATTTCTTAAAAAGTAAGCTAAATTGTATAATTCATGTAGAGAGAACATTTTATATTAATATTATTTATAAATTCAGAATTTATAATTTATATTGTATGTAAATAATAGATTCTGATCTATAATTTACACTTTATAATTATAGATTCTAATCTATAAGGTATATCTGGGTTTAAATCGCCAAATTTAAAATTTGAATGTAGAATCTCAAAACAAACAAAATTTGTCTCTGTTTGCTCGCAAATGCTTTGTGTGTTTAAGAGATATTAGTTTCTTAAATTACAGAATTAGAAATGAACAGTGTTGAAATATCTCTTATTTTATTTTCAAGATCAAAGATTATTGATGGGCTTCCATTTGTGCTGTAAATAAAGTTATAATGCAAGCGTGCTAAGAAATTGCAGGCGCACAATGTCAGTTAATCACTTCTTCTCTCATTAATAAGTGAAATTCTTGTCTGAGGGCTGGAAGCCATAATTTTGAATGAAACATTTAATAATTACATTTTGATTATTAAACAATAAAGGGAATATACCTAGATTTTTTGACATTATTCATTCCTACAATTTTGTAACTTAAGAAGTCGATATCTGTTAAAGGAAGCGTTTGTGAGCAAACTTCTAGAGGAAAAAAAAAATTTTATTTTTTTTTAAGTCCTAAATTTATATTTTGAGTTTGAGGTTTAAGTTTAACCCGAGAACATCTTGTATAATATTATATGACATCTTGTATAAATTG